GTAGGCGGATTTTTTTTTTTTTTTTTTTTACTGTTAACATGTCACTTCTCCCCAAATTATTTTATTTTTTTTTCCATTTGTTTTTATTAGTTGGAGGCTAATTACTTTACAACATTGCAGTGGTTTTTGTCATACATTGAAATGAATTAGCCATGGATTTACATATATTCCCCATCCCGGTCCCCCCTCCCACCTCCCTCTCCACCCCATCCCTCTGGGTCTTCCCAGTGCACCAGGTCTGAGCACTTGTCTCATGCTGTCTTCATTCTTGAATTACAGTTTAAGCATGAAATACTGTGTTGACCATTATTGCCTTCAGCATTTCAAGATAACTACTCCACTATCTTCTTAACATCTGTTGTTGTGAATGCAAAGTCTGTTGCCATTGCGATTGCCTTCCCTTTATAGGCAAGAATCTCTTTTCTCTATTTGCTTCAAAGCTTTCTTTCTTTATGCTTGATGTTCTGTGGTTTCACTATTATGTGTTCATGTGTGAGTTTAATTGCATTTTTCTAGCTCAAAATTATTTGCTCCTACAAATTGAAGACACATCTTCCTTCAGTCCTAGAAAATTCTTAATCATTGTGTAAATTAGGATGAGATTCTGCTGCAAGTGACAAAAGCAAACCAAAAAACCCAGAAAAACTCTGAATCAGAGTAATGTATATAAGATAGAAGTTTTTTTCTTACATAAATTAGGCTTTCTAGGTGGTGTCTGTTGATGCCATGGGCTAAGGGACCGGTCTATTTTATTGTTCCACCATGTTCCACAAGTAGATTCTCTGCTCAAACCTTAGCGTCTGTCACTGATATCTGACTGATAGTCATAGTATTAGTCATTCAATCTTGTCCAACTCTTTGTGACCCCATGGACTGTAGCCTGCCAGACTCCTCTGTCCATGGAATTCTCCAGGCAAGAATACTGGAGTGGGTTGCCATTCCCTTCTCCAGGGGATCTTCCTGACCCAGGAATTGAACCCAGGTCTCCTGCTTTGCAGACAGATTCTCTACCATCTGAGCCACCAGCAAAGCCCGTGTGTGTATGTGTTTTCCTCTCATCTTGGGCTTCCTTTCTATACTGTCTCATGTATCTAGGATTGTAAAGGGTTACCATGGAGCAGTTTTATATTTGTCTCTGCTGGCAGCCTTCAGGTTTTCCTGGTTTGAGCCAGCTTTTCTATTGCTACCTCTGTTTCAGTTTCCTGCACTATTGGTGAATGCACATTTGGCCTCCACGCCTGTGGAGTTTGGGAGATACATCATGTGGGTGGTAATCATTCTGCTCTCTCCCCTAATTCTCAGGCAAATGAGAGGAGATATTCTAGAATCCTTTTCAAAGCAGCAGATCTCTTCTGGAAACCTGGCTATATGCTTAACCCCAACTCCACTGCTTGGAATCTCAGCTCCCTTTTCAGCTCAGATATTAAAATCCCAGCCCTTAAGTTCAACTTCTGATTCCACTTCTTCTGTTGCCTCTTTAGCCTCACCCCTTACTCACCACTTTTTAGTGTTCTCTTTATTTCTGGTGTTTGAGAATTTTAATTTCTTGTTTTAGTGCTTAGTTGTATATTTCAACTTTTAAAATATATTTTATTGTGCTTTTATCTGTGTTAGGAATGATTGGTGTTTTTCCATATCAACTTAGTCCATCATAGTGATAAAAAGTCTGGCAAAGAGAATTTTAAATCCCCAAGGCAATAGAATGAAAATTTTTCAATAAAAGTATTGAAATTATTTGCTTTGATACTTCTTATACTGTCTTTGTTTACTCATTTGTGATGGGCCAGCATTGCCCTGTGGTTGACATTTTGGAATTAATGGACAAGAGCACTGGGATTAGATTCAGGTCCTTGCTTTGTTGCTTGCTAATTGCAGACTTGGAGAAATTACGTAAATTCTCTGAGCCTATGATTAGCTGTAAATTTGACATGTTATTACTTGCCTGCTTCATGGAATTTTTATAAGAATCAAATGAGATAGTAGACTAAAAAATATGTTAAAGCTTAAATCACATAATGTAAATTTATGGTATTATTATTAGCAGCATCAAGGATTGAAACCATTAACACATTCATTAAGAAGGTTTTAAAATACTATGTGAAGAATTATGGTTTGTTTGATTTGTTATTGTTGTTTAGTTGCTGAGTTGTCCAACTCTCTGTGACCCCCATTAATGAAAAAAAAAGATCCTGTTTCCTGGTAAAAGCTATCATTCTATGAAAATACCTAATAACGAAACTACATGGAAACATTCAAATATTCCGGCAAAATTTAAGAGCAGCACTTATACTGACAGGCAGTTATAAGTTTAACAGACTGTGGAATTCACTGTGGAGAGAGAGACTCTTAGCAGTTAAAAACAGAATTGAACCTGAAAGTCATCATTGCATTTTGTTGTTGTTTATTCATACAATGGATACTGAAAGTCCAATTACTATTTTGTGCGGAAACATAAAATCTTTATATAATGCAGAAAAAATGTCCTCATACTTGAAAATATTGAAAACAACAGACCTAGCCTATGGCAGTAGTCCACTAACTGGATCCAGACCCTCTATCCCTCACTAAAGCGTATTGTCTAAGGCAGGAGTGTAGCAATGCTCAGTGATTATCAGTCAGCTGTGAGGTCTCAGTATCTGTGATCTACTCATAATTAAAGTACTAAGTTTACAAATGATTTACTTAAAGAAAATTAAAGATTGACTCAAGATGGCAGACTGATCATACAGCTCTGTCACTGCATACTGAATCTCATGTGTGTGTGAGTCACTTAGTTGTGTCCAACTCTTTTGCAACCCCATGGTTGGGGCCCATCAGGCTCTTCCATCATGGGATTTTCTAGGAAAGAATACTGGAGTGGGTTGTTATTCTCTTCTCCAGGGGATTTTCCCGACCCAGGGATTGAACCCAGGTCTCCCGCTCCTGCATGGCAGGTAGGCTCTTTACCTTCTGAGCCACTGATTTGGGCTAAATCTCATAAAAATAGTTAAATATTGGAATTCTTTTAGTCTGCCTTGTAACGAGACATCAGCTATTCCAGAATTCTAGCTTTATGCAAATTTCAGTTCCATCTCTCTTTGGAGGCCATAAGGTTCCATCTCTGTTCCAATGTGAATTAAGATTCAAGTCCAAAGCCTTTTAAAAAAAAAAATAGTGTATACTTTAACAAATTTTTTTTTCAAGTCCATAGCCTTTAAGACCTTTCTCCAAATCTACTAACAACCTCCATTCCTTTCCCCAACACACCAAAGCTTGTTAAAATAATGAGGTAGTCTACAAGTGAACTTATTTACAAAACAGAAACAGATTGACAGACAGAAAAAAACAAACTTATGGTTACCAAAAGGAAAACAGGGCTGGGTAGGGGTAAATTAGGAGTTTGGGATTGTCAGATACGAACTATTATATATAAACTAGACAGGGTCCTCTGGTACAGCACAGGGAAGTATATTCAATATCCTGTAATAAACCATGATACAAAAGAATATGTACATGTATGTATAACTGAATCACTTTGCTGTACACCAGAAACTAACACAGCTTTATTGTAAATCAGCTATACCTCAATAAAAAAAATAATAAGGCAGTCTACATGTGTTGACAAGGAGAGATCTTCAAGATAGGTACTGATATATAAAATAAGCAAGTTCTCTATTTTGGAAATGAGGGTTTCTCTGTTTTGTGAGCTGGGCTATGAATTTTATTGTTCCATTTTATTCAGCATTTAAATGTATTTGTAATAAAAGGGATTCACTATTTGGTTTAATCTGCCATGTTGTAAGAAGCAGAAGTCCCCAATACACAAATATTTAATAATGGCATTTGGTTGTTTGCAGTCTATTAAAATGTCTTTAGTGAAGGAATAAAGATATACCTAGAGTCTTACCAGTACTACAGATAATAGAGTGCAACTGATAAGTTCCCGTGGAAAGTTGTTGTGTACGTAAATACTCTTTTAGGCATCAAAGGAATACTTTACCTACTTCCACTTGTGTGCAACACAACACAGCAATACAACAAGCTTATAATAGATACATTTTTTGGCACAAAATGTATCAAAGAGAATAACTGGAAGAATTAATCATACCAAACTGAGCCAAAAAGGCAAAGAGTGAGTTAGTGCTAGAAATAATTTAAGTAAAATAGAAATCAGTTTAGGAAATATTTTGATATTCTAGGTACTCATGCCTTTGAATTAAGTGGGTATGTTTGTGTATCTTGTACTCGGAGGAATGTTTTTAGTTTTCATACTCTTAACTGTATAAAAGGGTTCAAAATCTTAGAATAAGGAGGAAAATTCAAGTACATGGGAGAATGTTATCCTTAAATTGAAATTTTATTTACAGTAATAGTGATGATGTGGTTACATTGATCACTGATCAGTGTGCGTGATCTCATGCTTAATAGCCTTATCAAGTTGCTATTATCCTAATTTTATGGATGAGAAAACTGACTTCTAGAGAGGTTAAGTAATTTATCCAAGGTCACATTGCTTATATGTGCTGGAACCAAAATTTTAACCCCAGTTTGATTCTGAAGCCATGACTAATGACTGTCTAACAGGGCCTCTCCTCTAAGAGTTATATATTTGTTAATTACATCCATTGTTGTGCAAAACAAAGTTGTTATATTTATAAATATGACATAGAAATATGTCTCATGTCCATCATTCATTGAAGACCACACTTGAATTTTTGGTGTATTTTATTATCCCTTTTTCATTTTCTCATTTTATATAAATTGTAATTTTTGAGGTTACTGATCAAAGAAAAAACAAATGTGAGGGTCTGTATGATGATTCTGAAATTTTTCTACATTCCAAGGTTTATGCTTTTTTCTGAAGAAGGTAATTTATCCTGATTTATCTTGACTTTTTATTGGTGGACTTAAAGGATCATGCCTGGTGAGAAGAGCATTTACTACAGCTATTTGAAAGACTTCTGCAGTCTTCTCCCTTCTCTCAGGACTTCTGGGGGAGGCATTGGCTGCCACTCTGATGTCTGTTTCTGATAAGTGAGTTTTAGTCTCTAACAACTCCTGGGAATTTTGTCGGCAGAGACCGGGTGAGATCATTTTGCCTTCCGCTGAGTTTCCTTTCTCTGTTTTTTTGGACTGTTCTGATGAGCATGACCTTAAAGTATTCAGTAATACCTCTGTTCTCTCAGGAACTGTTGGCCTACTCCCTGGTTTTATCTCTGTCTGAACAAAAACTCCATGTCTCTGGAAAGGAAAACAAAGTTGATGTTAACCAGGGCACACAAGTTGCTGGAAGACGCAGCTGTGACCTGAGTTCATGTATTAGCTCAAGTCCTGGTTGAAACAGGCTCTTCTCTGCCTGTTCATTAGCTGTCACCTTAGTCTGAAACTGTAGACTACAGCAGCATAATAATTATTAGTGAACCATTCAAACAAAGTATGAACAAAGGTGCACCAGAAAATGAACAGGAAAGGAAAAACAAAGTCAGAGGAGCATCTCATTATCTCTCATTCTCAATTTTTCTGTCATTTTGGATTGTATGAGACTATTCATATCAAATTTCCTTTCTTGCTCTTTGGGTTGCTATGGAAACAGTAGAAACTGCAGTTTAAAGACCTAAGGATTTATGATTGCATCGCAAACATCTATTAGTTCCAACAACTAATAGTTGTTGTGAAATGTTATTATTAGCCATTGTGAAATATGAAAACAAACATCTGTAGTTGGTAAAAATAAAAAATCCAGCAATTGGCTATTACATCACTGTTTCGATTTATAAACCTGATATGCATCCCCTTGCTACACACATACAAAAATTTATCAAACTGCTTTGCTTTACGTTAAGTGAATGATTTTACTAATTTGAACCAAATTCTAAATACTGTGATCCAAAATGATGACATCATTCTTTAGTTTTGATTATGACATGTGTTTGAGATTTTTATCCTCCTAATAACCATGTTAGTTTGTTTAAATCAACTTTGAGAAAGATGATTGTGACTTGAAAAGGCTTGGAGTTCTAGCATAAATCTATCCCCCATCATAAAGTATTAAATAATTGATTCTAAATACTGTCTCACCTTTCCCCGGATGGGCTCATTGGGTGTTTTTCTGGCATCATATTGATGTATAAAAGAGATGCATTCTCTAAAGTTCCTTTGAAGTTCTGCTGATGCATCAGGAGAGACAAGTGGAACTAAGAGGGAAAAAGATTTTGTGAGGGTCAGGATACAAGTTAGATTTGTATATGGAAACATAAGTATTTATAATATTTTGTTTTATGAAAAATGCTAATGAACTAAATTGTTTTAAGTATGTAAGGTTACCTAAACACATCTAAATAATACTATGATAGATTTAGCATCTTTCTCTATGAGAAGAACCAAATCAAAACAACCAAATTAGCCCCACATGTGAAATTGCTAGTAATTTTAAAAGCTAATATTAATGCAGTTCAGTTCAGTTTAGTCCCTCAGTTGTGTCCAACTCTGCGACCCCATGGACTGCAGCACACCAGGCTTCCCTGTCCATCACCAACTCCCGGATCTTGCTCAAACTTGTGTCTTGAGTTGGTGATACCATCCAACCCTCTCATCCTCTGTTGTCCCTTCTCCTCTTGCCTTCAATCTTTCCCACCGTAAGGGTCTTTTCCAGTGAGTCAGTTCTTCACATCAGGTGACCAAAGTATTGTTGGAGTTTCAGCTTCAGCATCAGTCCTTCCAATGAATATTCAGAACTGACTTCCTTTAGGATTAACTGGTTTGATCTCCTTGCAGTCCAAGGGATGCTCAAGAGTCTTTTCCAACACCACAGTTTAAAAGCATCAATTCTTTGGTGCTCAGCTTTTTTTATAGTCCAACTCTCACATCCATACATGACTACTGAAAAAACCATAGCTTTGATGGCTTTTAAAAGCCTTCTGTTAGATCTGCTTCTTGCACATATACCAACCAAAGTGCTAGGAAAAGCATAAGTACAATGTATTTGTCAGATTTTTTTTTTTTTTTTTTTTTACTACTAGAAAGGTTTTGAGAAATTTATGCACAAATTGCTCTCAGATAGCACTGACAGATGAACTGGAAGATTCCAGGGCTGCTACACCTAGAGTTGAACACATAATTCTTTTCATTTCCCATTTACAGAGGCCCTGAAAATTTGCAAGAGTATTAAGCTCTCTAAAACTCACTTTAAAATAATGTTTTAATGTGCGTATCTATCTATGTAGCTATCTATGTAGGGGTTCATTATGTTGGTAGCTATCTATGTAGGGGTTCATTATGTTGGTCTCTCAATGTTAAAATTTTTTAATTTTTAATACTCACTTTATTTCTGCTTTTAGCACACAATGTTATGGAAGGAATCAGAGTAACACCCAGTTTAGTGACATAAAATTCTGTCAAGGAAAAAAAATTTCAATTTCTCCTTTTTATAGAATAGTATTGAAACATGTATATTATTACATGTGAAACAGATCACCAGCCCAGGTTGGATGCATGAGACAGGGTGCTCAGGGCTGGTGCACTGGGATGACCCTGAGGGATGGGATGGAGAGGGAGGTGGGAGGGGTTTCAGGATGGGGAACACATGTACACCCATGGCTGATTCATGTCAGTGTATGGCAAAAACCACTACAATATTGTAAAGTAATTAGCCTCCAATTAAAATAATTAAATTAATTTAAAAAGTAAATCAATAAAAATTTCTCATTTTTATAGAAAAAACATACATAAGGTAATTACATGCATATCACTACCATATCTATGGAGTGATAACAAGAAACTGATAACAGTGATCACTGCAGGAGGAAGGAGTTAGCTGACTGGAGGATGGAGGTGGAGAAAAGTGGATTCACTTTCACTCTTATCCTATTGTACCATTTGAATTTTGTACCATATGCATGTATTCACTATTAAAAAATAAAATTTAATTTTTAAAAAACATGCCTTTAAAATTAGGGAGTCTATATAAAAAGGAAAAATATTAGTAAATTTACATTTATTAAGTATTCACAAATTCAATTCAATAGTCAGACATGAATATAAACTAATAATACTAGCAGGAATGAAGCATTCAAACATTTATATATTACATGATGTGAGATGGCATTCTTTTCCAACTACCAGGAAAAAATGCTAATTGATAACATTTCCTGGATTTCTAATTGAGATCAGATACTCAAAACTCATTTTCTACCTAATCATTACCTTTCCTTTAGGATCTGCTATCACACAAAAGACAGCAGGTGCCAAAAATTTAGCAAAAATTTGTGGACAACCACTAAATTGAGAAAATTCTAACCATAACATATTTTTCCACCAATTTGAAAAAGACTCAGTTTTGGGGTAAATGTCACGGTACAGCTCACAGAATGTTAGTGTTTCCAGGAACATAGTCTGATAACTTTGTGCATAAAATGAAGCTCTTCTAAATTGAGGCATTAATTAGGTGGGGTCAATGGAGTGTCCAAAGCATTGGCTTCTGGAAAAGATAGACGTGTTTTCAAATCCCAGCTCTCCCACATATCCCACCTGTGTCACTTTGTACATATCACTCCTGTCTCTAAAATGAGGATAATAATACTTCCCTTTCAGAGCTGTGAGGATTAAAGACAGTGTCTATAAAGTCTCCAGGATGATGGACCAAATTAGAAAGGGATCTCCAAGTTAGGCAACGGGGGAGCTCTTTCGTATCCTGACAAAAGGGAAACCATGGAAGACAAGCGTGACTCCAATGAACTATCAAAAGACTGTGAGAAAACTAAAGAACTTTTACTAAAACTCTTTACTAAAGAGAAAACTCTTTACGAAACAAAGAGTTTAGTAAACTGGTATGAAGGGTTGGTGGCAGCTTGGGCTGGAGGATAGGGAGATCAGAAATAGCCAGGTTGAGGAGAGCTTTTCAAATCTGCTCTTGACTTTCCCCTGCCTTGCCTTAGGAAGATCATTGTTTGCCTGAAGGCAGCAGAAACTGGCAGCAACAGTCTAGCCATCCGTTGTCCACTTGGTGACATCATTGAAACAGCACAGAAATCCCTCCATGTTAAGGAGCTGATGAAAATGGACGCGTGCGGCCCTCTTGGGCATTTCCTCCTCCAGCATTCCCCTAGCGACTGTCAGTGCTGGTAGATTAAAAACATCAAGAGCTTTCTCTCAGTGATGCCTCTTTTCAGGAGTTTAAAGGAGAAAGGAGTGGAGCCCTGACTGGAGGATTGGTCTCAGTAGGGACAAAAAATAGAGGTTGTCAAAACTGGTTTTGTGGGGCCTGACTCGCAGCTGGCCCAGCCTGACCTTCGTCTTGCCTTAAATTCACTGGTAGACACACAATCCAAGCCCTGGTCTTTAGCCTTGCCCTCACAGGGCTTGATAATTCCCCTTGTGGAGTATGACCTCAAGTTAAACTAGACAGACACTGTAAAAGAAAGACAACAAAATTTAAAACATATATTGTGTGAAGGAGAATTATTAGAACCTATGCACCAAGAATAGAATAAGCATAACAAATATCCTCAAAGATATTGAAGTATTAATATAAAGCAAAGAGTCAGACACAACTGAGTGACTGAACTGAACTGAACTGAATATAAAGCAAGAATTAGAACACAAAAAAGAATCATGTAAAATATTAGAAATGAAAAGTTAATAGTTGAAATGGAAATGATGAGATAAATAACAACATTTATGAACTAGAAAATCAGACTGAGATGCTCTCCTAGAAGACAGCTGGAAAGGTTAAAAAATAAAAATTAAACAGCTAAGAGACATGGATGATAGAAATACCAATACTAGAATTCAGGAAATCTAGAAGACAGAAAATGAAATGTTTACAGTAAGGATGATAAATATATCAGAATTAAAGAAAATCCAGAGGCCTCAGATTGAAAGGGCTCACAGATTAACAAACAGGTAGCAGGGTGAGAAGTAAGATGGAGCAGGTGAGGCCCAGGGGATGCAAATTTAAGGAGGCACTCACACAATGCTGGGAGCGAGTGCCTGCTTACATTTTGCATCCTAGATCCCTCACTTGGCTCACACTCCTCCAAATCCTGCATGGTAGATAAAGAAAAAAACTTATCTTAGACATTTTATAGAGAAATTTAAAGTCATGTGAGACAAAGAAAAAATTTTAAATGTTTCCAAAGAGGAGAGGTAGATTACCTACAAGAGAGTAAGAAGGAGATTTATATCAAACTTGATAACAACAACACTGAACACATGATAACATTAATATTTTTTAAATATTAAAGGGAAAAATACTTAACCCTGGAAGTTCTATATCCAGCCAAACTGTCATTTAATTATGAAGCCCAAATAAAAAATATTTGGAGGCAAAGAAGGCCTCAGAATATTTCCCTGTAAAACAGATCACTTCAAAAAATTTCTAGAGGGAGAACTCAAGAATAGAAATAAATCAAGAAGAGTTTATGTTTAAACCCTTATGTGCCTAAGCTTTATGTTCAACTTGAGTTTAAACATCAAAGAATAAATGAAAGTTACTATCTACTATTATATTTAAATTAAAGGCTCAAGGAAAGAAATATGTTTAAATTTATAATGTTAAAACTAGAATATGAATTTAAATCAAAGTAACTATAAACTCTTTCTGTATACAAAGACTCCCTTAAAACATGAAAAAGATCTAGTGAAACATGAGCCCTTCAAAGGATTAACAACTGGTTTACTTGCACACTTGACATAACAATAGAATCCAGATGACAGTGGACTAATACCTTCCTGGTGTAAAAGCTAAGTAACTGTGGATCTAGAATTCTATATCCAGCTATATTTTCATTCATTAAAGAGTGAGGGCAATTCAGTTTAGACATTTTCCGACAAAGAGAGGTGAAGAGTTGGCCATTCCTAAATTCTAATGGAAAGAACTGTTTAAAGACATTGAACTAATGTGTTACATTGATGGCCCCAAAGAATCAGGCCTTCCAGTATTCACATCCTTGCACAGTCCCTCTTTAAATGTGAACTGGCCTTGTGATTAACTTCAGTCAATAGGATGAGGCAGAAGCTATATCATGCCAATTCCAGGTGTAAAATCTAAGAAAACACTGCATTCTTGAGAGCCCTGAACTGTCATGTAAGAAGTCCATCTACCCTGCTAGAGAAACCACATTCAGAGACCAAATGCAGAAGGAGAGGCCCAATCATTCCAGCATCCTAGCTGAGTCCAGTCCTCAGACGACCTATC